TGACATGTTGTACCAGAACATCAGTACAAACTATTTTAAATCTTAACATATTTGATTTAATTTGGTGACATTTCTTTTGGATATAACTCAATGATTTGTGCAGGTCAAGAAGATTTAATCTGGAACAAGTGATCTAATCTTCAGTAGTACATAAGTTTCTAAAATTGGATGTTGAGACAATTTAGGAAACTTGATATTTTGTTCCAAGATTTAAGGAAATGTATCTACATAATTGGTGCAACCCTCAGCTCGTGGATCAAGAAATATTAGGGTGAAGATTTGAAACCCATGGACTATTGAGGAGTATTTAAATATAAACCTAGACCTAAAGTAATTTAACTTTCACATTTGTGAAATTATGGGAAGTCTAAAGTCTTAGGTTTTAAGGGTATCTTATGTTTTTTGTGAGTCACCCATGTATCTTTTGATACAGTGAGGTATAATGATTATTACTTGATAGTTTGTCAAATTGTTCTTAGTTTAAAGATTTTAAGAAAAACAAAGTATTGTTCTCACTCATGAGCTTTTAAGTAAAGAGTTAAGCATTGTTTATTGGAAGTGTAATATTCTAAATTTGATTCTAGTCACTGATTTATGATTGTAGTTTATCATTGAGGTGATTGGTAGGAAATGAGAGGGGAATATCATATCTAGAAAGTTTCTAGGTAGAAGTTTCACAAGGTAGTGATTAGGTGAAAATTTGTAAATTGTGATTGTTTAGACTTTGAACTAATAATGTCATAGTGAATTTCCTCCATGACTTGGTAGCCCCTAGAGTAGTTGACATTTCATTGAACTAGATTAACAATCAGTTGCGTTATTTATCCTTCTATAATTTATTTTCTACATAAGTTGCATTTTTTATATGTTTATTTATGTTTGTCAACAGATGTCACAACATCTGTCTTGACATTATGATATGATGTTGGGTCATCAGTATTAATATGTTTTAAAGTGTCATAATTTTGATCATTTTATATGTTTTATGCATCACTTAAAAATAAATTAAAATAAATTCATATCATTAGCCATAAAATAGAAATAAACACTCTATGTGAGACATGTCAACAAGGAAACTAGTGAAACATTCTTTTTATTCCAAAATTATGGTTTCATATTCTAGACCACCAGAACTCTTACACAATGACTTGTTTGAATTAGTAAAAATTGCATCAGTTAATGGTTTGAAGTTTGGACTATCCATATTTGATGAATATAGTATATGCTCATGGGTAAGACTCCTAAATACAATGATGCGTCGCATTCATTGTTTTTATTTTCCTGCAAAGAAGTGCAAGTTGAACACGGCTTAAAAATTCCAACCACTAAAAGTGATAATGGTGGAGACTTTAAAAATAAACCTTTTTAAAATTTTGTGAAGAAAATTTCATTTCTAACGTCCTTGACTTCCAAAAAAATAGTCATAAAAAGGAAAAATAGATCTCTTTAAGATATCATCAAAACCATGATCAACGAGAAAAATATTGCAAAGCAATTATGAGGGAGAAGATCTTAATACAAAATGTTATAATCAAAATAGGATCTATATTATACCTATATTGAATAAGACTCCTTCTGAAATTTGAAAAGGAAGAAAACCTATTATTTCATATATCCATCATTTTGGGTGTACTTTCTTTCTGATAAATATTAAAGAACAACTTAATAAGTTAGATTCAGAAGTACAAAATTGTATCTTGCTAGGATACTCTGAACGCTTTAGAGCTTACATAGTATATAATACTAAAACCCTGGTTGTTAAAGAATAAATCAATGTAAGGTTTAATGATAAATAAATTGACTATAATGTGTGAAATATAGTTGAGAAACATATAAATATCTAGATAGTGGAAATGTCAACATCGACATCCTCTAGAGAAAAGACATAGGTTAACAATATTTCTGACAAATAAGACTCTGATGAACAAGGATTTGGTAAAAACATATGACTCTTGACAAGAAATCTTATGTGCACCAGATGATATTAGTGGCTTTATTACTAACCACCATTTTATGTATAATTATTCTCACCAAAAAGAACTTATCTTGGTTATCAAGGAAGACCCATGAAAACAAAATAATCTTTTAGATATTATTTCACCTTCATGAGACTTTTATCTCTTATTAAACAAATGATAAATTTCAAAATTACGTAAAATACGTAGGCACTTATTGACTTATTTTTCAAGAAATAAATACAACCCCCACCCCCTTTCGAATTTATCTATGAAAAATATTAAAAACACCTCAGTATTACAAATAACGCATCTAACATCGAACGTGAAATGCATTTTACCTCGGCAATAGAAGCAAGGTAAATAAGGTCGTCATAAAAAGTAAAGACTTATCACCTCAGTGTTTAAAACACCGAGGTATTATTTTATTAGCGCATGGGTTCGAATCTTATCTTCTGCACTTTTATTATTTACAAAAACTAGTGCCTTTTTTTATCTCAGTTTATTAACAAAATCGAAGGGTTATTAGTTTTTTTATAAATAAAACTCGTTACATTGTTTACACAGAACATTAATAAAATAATTTGTTTACAAACTGAAGTATTTACCTAGAACATTACATTTTTTACATAAAAAAATAATTGTCCGTGAAGATCATATGATGGATCTTCAATTCCTTGATATTCTGAAGAAGATCAAATGCATGGGAAACTCTTTTCTCCCAACAAAAAAAAAGTATTCTCTATGGATTTTTTTTGCATTTGTTTCTGATATGAACAAAAAAAAGTGGTTAAACAAAAAAAGGGTTAGATAAATAAATAATCATATGCTCAAATAAATACTTAAGAACACAAACCTTAAACCCAAATAATTTTCCGCTATTACAATCCATCATAGAGAACTATTCATGGCAAACACTCTTGTGAATGTTAAACTCTTCATGATGTTGGATCTTCCCTATGGCCTTTGCTTGCATTTGTTTCTGATATGAACAAAAAAAAGGGGTAACAAAAAAAGGGTTAGATAAATAAATGATTTTTTTCTCAAATAAATATTTAAGAACACAAACTTTAAACCCAAATAATTTTCTTCTCTTGCAATCCATCATAGAGAACTCTTCATAACAAAGACTTTTATAATGGAAGCTATTTATGTTTCTAATGGATCACTAATGGCAATGTCTTGAGCATTGATAGTCATGAAATGGATGGAAATGATTTGTTTAAGGATTTGATAAATATCTCAATTTTAACGCTAAATTTTACCTCGATTTATAGGAAAACCGACAGGTTAGAACATTTAATTTACAAATAAAAACTACAATTAAAATAGTGGTTCCAATTTTAGCGCTCAATTTTAACGCTAAATGTTCCCTCAATTTTTATAGAAAACCGACAGGTTAGAACATTTATATTAAAAATTAAAAATAAAATTAAAATAGAGGTTAGAACACCGACGTGACGCGCATAAATTGGAATCGTATCACTTAACTAGAATAAGAATGATCATCTATATTCAAGTTGTAACGTCTCTTTTGGATTATCAAGGAGGTTTTTTGAATTATTTAAACATCTGATTAACAACTCATTGTTTCAAATTCTTTTCCTATTTTCAATGTCTCATTACCAACTCTTTGTTTCCTTGTTTCAAAGTCCTTTTTTCTTATAAAAATGAACGCAAATCAGTTGTTTGTTATCAATGAAAAATATGTTGATTTCAATGATTTCGAACGTTTTAAACAAAAGTTGAGGAAAGTTATTGACAAACAAAAGTTGAATGGTTACCTTAACATTCTACATGGCCCCATATACACTGACCTCATTACAGAGTTCTGGTTCAATGCTTCTATTGTGCCAGTTGGTCATGAAGAAATCATCCAGTCCTATGTCAATGCCACTAATTTATACATTACTCCATCACTGATTATTATGACAATCAACTGTGAATTTTTTTATAGTTGTGTTGAAAATTAAAAATTCAACAGTGTCTATAAAACCCAATTTCATTAACTTTATACCAACCAAAATAATCTCTCCAGTCTTACTTCTCTAATTCCAATTTCAAAATTTTGGTTTCAACTTCTAGTGACAAATCTTCGTCCAAGAGAGAAAGACCTGGAAATGCTTACCTGGTATAACAAATATATCTTGTTATTCCTCACCTACAACATGAGAGTTAATATTCCTTTACCATTTTCAACTTCTTGAAGTAAATGATAAAGACTTCTCAAAAGGAAACGACTTTCCTCATACCTTATGGAAGAGTTATTTTTAAACTTTTCTATAAGTTATGGATAGTTAGGGGTGATGTTGAAGTTGAATGGACTGAGAAGTTTAAATTTGTTGATTAGTTTTCTTTGTTGTGTTGTCTTTTATTATCAATGAAACATTTCCTTTTTTCTATTATTGTGTATTCTTGTTTAACAAAGTTTTTGAGAAATACTACTTAACAAAAAAAAACATGGTAGGTTCAAAGAACCCAAGGCAAGAAGACCAAAGTTGGAAGGTGTATCTCTTAGGAAACTTTCAGAAGAAGATCAAAGTTGGATTGGAGATCCTTTTACCTTTGAGTAATTGAAGGGAGTTTTATGGAATTATTATAGTGAAAAAGGTGATGGACCAGATGGATACATTATGGGATTTTATAAGAAATGGTGGGAGCTGATTAAGGGGGAGTTATTTGATTGCATTAAAGAATTTCAAGCAAAAGTCATACTACCTAAATCCATAATTGCATCCTTTTTGTCTTTCATACCAAAAACATCCAATCCTCTGGTAATAAGTTATTTTAGTCATATATGTCTAGTATGGAATGTTTATAGAATCATTTCAAAGACTTTGGCATGAAGATTGAAGAAGGTGGCATGGTCCCTCGTGTTAACTTGCATGTATGCATTCATTCCAAGGAGGAAAATGCAAGATGGAGTTTTTCTCATCAGTGAGATTGTAGATTTTCCTAGGAGGAAGAAGATAAAGTGTTTGATGTTTAAAGTAGATTTCGAAAAGGTCGTGTGGTTGTATTTCATGGGAATACATAAACAATGTTATGTGTGGGATGGGATTTGGCTACAAATGGATTAAATGGATGGATGTGTATGTGATCTCAAGCACCATGTCCATTTTAGTAAATGGTAGTCCCACAAAGGATTTTCAAGTGTGGAGAGGTCATCATCAAGGGGATCTCCTGTCATTATTTTTGTTTCTTTTTGTTGTGGAAGGTTTATAGGGCTTAGATAGAATGGTGTTCAAATGGGTGAATTAAAACCATTTAAAGTATATGAAGATACACATTTTGAAATGTTATAGTTTAGAGACAATACTTTAATTATTGGAGAATGGTCATGGAGAAACTTAGGTAGTATCAAGACACTACTGAGAGGATTTCAATTGGCTATAGGATTGTGTGAAAATTTAAATAAAAGCAAGGTCATTAGTATTAATTTGAAGGATAACTTCTTGCAAGTAGCTTATAGCTTCTTGGCTTGTGGAATTAGCTCCACCACGTTTCAATTTCTTAGCATTCTCGTGGGAGTAAATCCAAAGAGGAGGGTAACATGGGTTCCAATTTAAGAAAAGCTTCAAACCTGGATCTCAACTTGAAAAGGTAGACAACTTTCAATAGGAGAGTTAGTGGATTTACTAAAATTTGTATTTAACAACTTCCCAATATATTATTTTTCAATTTATAAATCTCTCAAGGTGGTCATACAAGAGATTATGAAGATTCAAAGATCTTTTCTTCGGGTAAGGCTGATAAGAAGGAGAAATTGAACCGAGTAAGTTGGATAAAGGTGTGTAAGTCAAATAAACAAGGAGGGTTAGAGGTACAACCTTGTTAGTGGTTTAACTTGGAATTACTAAATAAATGGAACTAGAGATTACTTGGTGAATCAAATGTTGCTTGGTCAGGTATTTTGTCATATAGATATGGAGATATCAAGTTCAAAATACTAAATGGAGGTGGGATAGTTGAAGCAACCCGAGGAAATAAATCTCTCAAACAAACAATAAAGTCACCATCAAATATTTATTTATCCCGCGAAAGGGAAAGGAAAACATCAAAGAAAACCTGAAGAGGGTGAAATCAAAGTCTTGCGACCAAGAGAACGAGTAAGGGAGTCAATTACGTGAGAGGAAGGTATTAGCACCCCTCAAGTCTATTGTACTCCATGGGATCCACTCTTGTTGTCTAATCTAAAGGGTTTGTCTAAAATCTAAAAGCTAAGTTTTAAAGGTAATGCATGGATGCAAAGGATTATATACAAAAAAAGGTTTTATTTCTCGTGCCTGCCTCGGTTGTGAACCTTTGTGCCTACATACCACCTACCGTGCAATGGGGATCAAGGCACTCATAGTTCACCTCAAAAGTTTTGGTTGGTTGCATGTTTTTTATGGATAATGTTGTGTTCGCATCCTTGTGGTTAGGATTGCAATTAGTGCTTGATGTTGCAGCTCATAAGAGACTCATGCTCGACCACTCGCACACTTAGCATTTCCAGGTTGCTCGAACTTGAAACAACAAACCCTTATCGAAAAGGTTTTAGAAGAAAAAATCTGAAGACAAAAAGAGTTTGCATTGGCTAGTGTTTTTTACCTTGAAAAAGGGTTTAATAATCTTAGAGTGTTTTGAACTTTGAACAAAGAAAAAGAGAGTTTTAGTTTTAAGAATGCAAAAAGGGGAATGAAAAAGTCTAAGAGAGACTAACAATCCTAGTGTTTTCATGCAATCATGGCCCTAAAGTTTGGATAACAAAGGGAAATATCTACCTAATTTAGCATGCATAGGTTACAACCTAATGTCCAATTTGAATAAAAAATGAAACAATAAATCCTAAGGGAACATGCAAAGATTACAACATAATGTCCAACTTGAATCGAAAACGAAACAAGCAATCCTAAGGGAACATGCAAAGGTTATAACCTAATGTCCAACTTGAATCAAAAACTAAACAAGCAATCATAAGGGAACATGCAAAGATCTAAAGAAAAACACAAACACAAGTGCAATCGAACAAAGTCGGGCCAAAACCAAAACAACAATCAAGTGCGAGCTAGGAATAAACAATGAATCCAATCGATTTCAGTGTGGGAGTAAGGAACGTTTTCCACTTGATTTGCTCAAACACCGATATCGAGTAATAACTCAAAGCATCAATGTTTAAAGAAACGTGAGCTAACACCGTCAAAACAAATGACAAAGTGTGGGGGTTGGTTACAAACTCTTTTTCCTCTTTATTTAACTTAATGGATAAGAATAAGCATAGTTCAAAGCATCAACATACAACGTGAGCTAAGAATGACACGGACTAGAAAGTGTGGGGGCCAATTGCGAGCCCTTACTCCACTTATTGACTCAATAGCAAGCACGAAGTAAAAGGGGGGGAATTGCCTTCTTTGAGGACTTTAAAAAAATTTCCACTTTTTGAGGTCTTTAAACAAACACAAACATTGCCTCCTTTGAGGTCTTTAAACAAGCACAAACATTGCCTCTTTTGAGGACTTTAAACATAATTGCCCACCTAAAGTAGGGACTCCCAGTCATGCATCTCTATTCCTACTTCTCATGGAAAGGAAAGAGAAAAGACATTATGGAATATAAATAGAATCAGAAACAATACCAAACGAATAATAAGTCCATAGCAAAGCGATATCAAAGCAAAAGAAACCTGGCAGTCTTCGTGCAAGCTTCACCAAGAAAAAGAGAAAGAATCAGAAAAGATATCCAATTTAAGAATCAAGAAATCATCGTGTGAGAATAAATCACATGCGGAAAACACATCGCACCATGATAATTTCCCTCCACAAAACAACTTTACACGAGCACAACATAATCTGCAAATCGTACATCCTCCGAATACTCCTTCGGAAGCTTGCACAAAATCACCAAACAAGTTAGAAATAACAAGGAAGCATAAGCATAGCTCGAGAATCAAGTCACAACTCAAAAATGATATTGAATTGCAAAGAAATCAAATCCAAATGAGCATCGGAACATGAACATTAAAAATCGGGCAGCAACATCACCATCTCATGAACCGAGCAAAACATCAATCAAAAATCGTCAAATCTCAATGCAAATTCCAAACAAATACCAAAGCAAGCTTACATATGCATTAACCAACAATTAAATCATAGGTTTATGCATACTTACCAACTCCGGGAAGCATACATCCAATCATAAAATTACTCAAAGAATCGTGTTGAAACTTATAAAATTCAACATCAATGTTCAACAAATGCACAACTATGCTCAAGTATGCATTAACAACAATTAAAGAGAAATTTACAATACATTTGCACTTTCCGAGAAGCAACATGTACATGAACCGATATCAATCAAAATCAAGTCTAAAACTTGAAATCGGACACATCAAAACATTTATCAATTCAAGTAATGTTGCTAGGAAATTACAAATAAATTGCAAACAATTAATTCACCTCAATGTGTTGATTCAAAGCACAAACAACATTATTCAACTGTTGACACAATTAATTCGGATCAAAGTTTTCAACGTCAAAAAAAATAATTAAATCATCTTTAAATCAAACTTAAAATTGTATCAATACATGAATTTCACATTAATTCTCAACAAACCTCCACAATCAAGTAAATCTGGATCACATTTCGACACAAAAGTTCATCAACAATTATCAAATTCGATGCACAAACAACAATTAATCAAAAATTACCGCGTTGAAATTCAAGATTCAAATAATTGAACACAAAATTCAACCAATTCCAAGCTTATTCATAATTCGGCAAACTCAAGAATCACTTAATTTGTTAATTCAAAGTTTAACTCATGCCAAAATCACAAATAAGCACTTAGTTAAAGATCAATTATTCAATTAAGCACTTAAATCAATAATTAAAACCAAGATCAAGAATCAATTACCAAAATGACGCGAAGAGGAGAAATCGCCAAACGAAATCGCGACAGAGGAGCAAGGAGGGAGTCGGATCAGACTCAAAGGCGGATCAGAGGGAGTTCTGAGCGGAACTCGATCGCCGACGAAGATAGAAGATAGATCGGTCTTTGCGCGAGCAGGAAGAGGGTGTGGTCGGGCTTTGCCGGAGCAGGAAAATGAGGATCGGCCGGTGATGATGTGTCCGGTTGGTGGTGGTTGGGAGGAAGAGAGAAGAGCTTGATCAAGTTTGTTCTTGTGTTCTAGAAACTTGAGAGAAAATAAAGAGAGAACTCTTGAAATTTTAGTGTGAATTTGAACAAATGAGAGCAAAAGTCCATTCGAATTTGAATTTAAAAAATATATAGGAAAGATACTAAGTCTTGTTTGGAAAGTGAATTTTTGAATAATGCAGAATTTTCGACTTATTTTGGTGTATAGCTCGAGAACAAACCATAAGCTTATTACTTTCGGTGCATAATCCTAATGCAAAACCTGAAACAAAATCATCGATAACGAAATTTGTGACGCGGTTCCTAAAGAATCACCATGATACGATAAAAATCAAGAAAGTTATGGATTTCGTAATTGCAAGAAATTTGATACAGAAAACTCTTTGTTTTGGGTTGTGCAAATTTTTCAGCTTATTTTGGTGTTCAACTTTGGAAACAAGCCATAAACCGAAGTCTTTTGAGCACAACCCGAACTCGGGCCCAGAAGGAAACTTGTATCTAACAAAATTTATGACACTGTTCCGCAAGAGTAGTCTCGTTATGATGAAAATTAAGAAAGTTAAGATATTTTCAATATCGGCATCACAATCAACAAATAACTATTTCAGGGTGCAATTTTCTAAGATAATTCACACTTTTGGAGATCTTCTTTAAAGGATTAACTTCTGACCTAACATATAAATTAAGGACAATATGAAGATGATTTTTATTCCAGAAGAACCACTCACAAATAAGTTTCCGGTAAAAAGTTATAAATTTTTGAATGTTTGATAAACAGTGGACCAACAATCCATTTCACGGCACCATTTTTAGGTAATTTGTATTTTTGGATGTCTTCCTCACTGACTCAACTTCCGTCACAAACACATGAATTGAAGAAAATACAAAGCTGGTTCAAATGCTCTAAGATCCACTTAAAAATGATTTTCCGGTTAGAAGTTACGAATTTTTAAACATCTGAACAAACAATTGACCAACAAATCCACAATATAACATGATTTCAGGCATTTTGTGCTTTTGAAGATCTTCTTTACAAAACTAGTTTTCGAGATGAACAAATGAATTGGATAAGATCTCAAGAAGGCTCTAATGCCTTAAGAACCACTCCAAAACCATATTTCAGTCAGAAGTTACAAATTTGTACCTCGAACCGTAAAATGCTAATTTTGGGCTTGAAATGTCTCAATTCAACCGAAACGCTTGACTTTCTCTGCAATTCAAAGAGTGATGGAACACATGAGAGCTTGGTATGATGATGACTTGATTAATTTTATATTGAATAGCTTGGAACACATGTGGTTTGCATTTAAATGCAGAAAACTTTGAGTTCTACTTCATAGTGCTGCTTAACAAAACAATTGTCTTTTATATCTCTTTCTCGCAGAGAAATGCCTTGATTCCATAAGTATAGACCCTATGACATATATGTAT